AACATGGTGGATAGCAACCGTCGTCAAGACGGAGGTCACGTGGGCGAAAACCAAGAATAAGCTAGCCTTGCATAGCTAACGACGATGAATTAGTTTTATTCCCTGCTTTCGTTTCAAATTCTCATTTATTTCCCATGGCGAAATTGTTTACAATGGAGACCTTAAGATACCCCGAAATCGGTGTACAGGTAACGGGTAGCGCCATGTTTTTTTCTTTTTGCGATGACGTCATCGATCTTATCCGGTAGACCTAGGCGTTTTCCCGTGGTGGACACCAGTTTGTCCGTAGAAGAATACGAGTACAAGAAGGACGAGCTACATGATGGAGAAACGAGTGAGTTTTTAAGACGTTTTGGATTGTTTGACTCCTTGGCAATGTTATTGCAAGTCTGTTAAAATATTTTTGCCAAATTTTAAATTTTAGCGGTAAAGAAGCTGGATTGACTTTGGATCTGAAATGCGAGGGTTGAACTCTGAAAGGATATAAATTTGTGGCGGTAATTTGGGGGATTTCTGAGAATTGCTCCAATAATTGTGTCTCCCAAAAGCACTAGCATACTTTCAAGGTCAATTTTAAAACCTAACACTAGACGGAACTTTGCTTACAGCATCCGCAAGAAGAATTTCGATGTCCTCATTAGTGTCAAACGTATGGAGAAGTATATCATTGGCGTAGTTTCTAAAGATAGAACATTCGTAAAGGAGAATTTTTGTTACATTTCATAGACTTTATTAAACAATTAGATAACTTATCTCTGAGGAAAAAGAGCAAACTTGAGAATCGTGGCAGTACGGAACGAGCGCAGCGAGGTCCGTACAGAGAAACGACCGAGGGCCAATATTCCCCAATACAGCTTGAGCAAGTGATGTTACCAAAACATTTTATTATATGGCACTCGGGAAAACATTTTTATTAATTTTGTAGTTTTCCGCCTTTCGCGAACAAAAGTACACGGTTTATGATCGCTTCTTTAGAAACGGTCCGTATGGCAAAATCCCGAACAAGTGAGAACTAATCAGAACGCTCGGATTTACCACGAGACTTTCCTGCCATAATAAGTTGTTATAACCTTCAAGTTCAAGGTATTTTCATCAAAATTTTCTTTCTCACTGAGTTTTTTTGTTTGTCTTCATTCACTCACGAATGTGTCCAATTATTTTCAGTTTAAAAACAGTTACCAAAGGGGTTTTCAACGGGGTGGGGGTGAGTCCTCCAACAGTTGTATCTCTGCTTTTCAGTGAAACACTCCTCCACGGTAACATATTCTATCTTATCTAATGAAGAAGTGTTATTTACATATTATTATCCGTGATTTTTGGGGCCGAAAACTCGCAAAAGGGGAAGAAGAAAATTTTTTCGGAGATTGAAATAGTTTCAGTTTGAATAGGTTGAAGATTGCCTTCCGTCTTCAACCGTCTTTTACCGTTCAGCAAAGAACCTTTGACCTACCGGTATATATGATTCAATTGTCCTCTTTCAATTCTACAATGAACCACGATTTTACCCTAAAAAAATTCTTAAAACTTAACTGTGTTCGAATATGCCAAGAAAAACAGACGCCCTCTGCTAGCTTACGGAATGTGATGTTGTAAACAATTTCGCCATGGGAAATAGATGAGAATTTGAAACGAAAGCAGGGATAAAAACCAATTTGTCGTCGTAAGCTATGCAAGGCTAGCTTATTGTATTGATCTCCTGATCGAACACGGTGTTAACTGCTAAAACGTGTTTGGAATTCCGGAGTTAACCACAGGGTGCCTAATTAGATTCGTGACGTAAATGCCGATGTCGCGGTTTTCACAAAGTTCATCCTGATTTTTCCGTGAGGAAATGAAAAGCCCCACACTAATTTTTATATCTTCGAAAACAACACTATTTCCGCTTATCATGAGTTCAACCTGAACCGATTCTGAGTTATACCACATGGGGAAAATGATAACTGAAAATTTGCTACGAAATGCGATATTTGGATTTTGAATATTGGTGATTTTCAAAAGCGTTCCATGAGCTCCAAATTTAAATGAAATGGTCCCGTTTTAGACTTAAACTATACCTCTATCCTTCCCATACAACTCTATAAAATTAATATGAGCTTGCTTTCTTTGCACTTTTCAAGAGCAAAGTTCATTTGCCTCTACTCGGGGCACTGATTTCCGCCATTTTATGGCTACCGACGCCCTGTTCGGTTTTTGTGAATTTCCTAGGATAAAGAAGCAAGTCTGGAAAAAAACTTTACCACGTTTCTACGTTCCTTATAGGGTGTCTCTAGGAAAAATATGAAGGTTTTCAATTTTTCGATTAGGTGCTACATTTTTCGATTTTCACTCGGTCAATTCACGAAGTCGCTCTTACTTTTCTGAATGTTCATCTACGACAGTCGATTTGCATACGTGTAACTTCTTCAAGACCCGTGTTTTGCGGGGAAGTCACCTTTGATATTTAAATGTCGAAATTTGACCATTGATAAATTTTCATTTTACTTTAGAGAATTGTATTTGCCAAGGTAGGTGACGATGATATAACATTTCAAACCCTTTTCATTCCCCGGACACTTTTCTTGGAAATGCTCCTCAAAGAAGATCGTCGCTCGACTAACCATCAATTACATGACAAGTAGAAAAGTCGTGTAATCCATCGGACTATTCTCAAGAGAAAATATCAAAGGTGAGCGCTTCCAGGGAATTTTACAACGTTAACTTATCTTAATAAGTGTTTGAGAAATATTTCTGATTTCTGCTGAGTGAGTCTAGCAAAGAATTATTCCTCAAAAAGTGACGCTCTTGACCCACAAGTCTTACAATTGATGACCTTTAAGACGAATACCGAAAAACAAGTTCTTAGCCTCAATTCTTACAGAACAACCTGCAAGTAACAAGAAAATGTTCAACGGAAATATATAGAAAATGGAATTTCGGAACCAGTTACCGGTGGAAACACCAAGCTGACAAGTAGCAACAGGAAAAGCAAACAAAAATTTGCAGCGTCCGTTGCAAAATTTATTGTTATCCAGTGCCCCCATCTTCCATGTGCGAATGATTTGCGGATATTTCGCTTGGATCGTGTATTATAGTTATGATGGTTGCTGTTAAAAGAGCAGTGAAAAGTGTGCATAAAAAGGTTATTAACTACCTTAAACATAAAAATAGCACGATACTCCGCTCTCCGCCTTTCTAGAGATTTCCAATGGAGTTTTGAAAGTGCATTGCTCGCGGAAGCAGTAGGGGGAAGATCTAAAATGATTCGCGCAGCCTTGTTTTGAAGGATCTGTAGCTCCGCCATAAGTGTAGTGTTGCCCCGGTCTCTCCATATAATATCATCGTAGTCAAAAAGGGGCAGAACAAAAGAATTAAAGAAAGTTATCCTAGCGCTTAGTGGGAGACACGACTTGATGCGCCGCAAAAAACCTAGCTTCTTGTTTATCTTATTACGCATGTGCTGAATATGATCCTCCCAAGTAAGATTCTGATTAATAATTAATCCTAAGTAGGGAAAGCATTCTGCTTCCTTAAGTTGCTTTCCATCGGCTGAAATAACAATGGAAGCGATTCTACGTAGTCCCGAGTTACTACCTATTAGCATAAATTGGGACTTCTTGATGTTAAGAGTAAGTTGATTAAGTTTCAACCAGTCACATACTTGTCTGAGGTTCGAGTTCATTTTAGTTTCGATTTCTGAAATGAGTTTGGAGGAAAAATATAAAACGGTGTCTTCAGCGTACAAAGTAATGCTACAAGATTCAAGAACGTTTGGTAAGTCATTCATATAAATTATAAACAATAGTGGGCCCAAGATTGAGCCTTGGGCTACTCCGACAGATACTGTGTCTGGGTCACATTGAGCTCTGCCACAGCAAGTAACTTGGTTTCTGTTGGAAAGAAAAGAATCAAACCAGTTCTGAGCAGTATCATCCACACCAAAGCGAGACAGTTTACGTAGCAGGATGGAGTAATTCATGGAGTCGAAAGCATTTTTCAGATCTTAAAAGACGGCCCCTGTAACAGTGCCGTTGTCCATGCCGAGGAGTAACTGATCAATAAGGCTGTGCAGAAGCTGTGACAGTCGAGGATTTCAGTCGAAAACCAAACTGTTTTGACGAGATTAGGTTATTCTCTGTTAGGTAGCCATAGAATTGAGGGTGAACAGCATTTTCTAAGATCTTACTTAACGTTGGCAGTACTGAGATCGGCCTGTATTTGGACGCGTCCTGTTTGTCACCTTTCTTAAAAAGGGGTATGACCCTCGCGTTTTTCCAAACGGAAGGAAAATTTCTTTTTTGTAGCGATAGATTAAATAATGACGTCAACGAAAGCGCAATAATATGTCCAGAGTCCTTAAGCAGGCGGGCACTTATTTTATCTAACCCAGTAGCTTTATTGAGTTTTAAACGCTTGATAACGTCCCTGACAAAACTTTTAGATATCAGCCGGAAAGAAAACCCGGAACCAGTTATATTAGGATTGACCTCGGGCTGGTTAGAGAACGAAAAGTCCGGAAATTTTTCGGCAAGTTTTCTGCTGATACTTACCAAGAAGGTGTTCAAAGCAGTAGCGATTGACTCGTCAGAGGTGACAACTGCGTCATCTACTCTTAGAGTAGAGATATTTGTGGAGGTCTTTGACGATGTTAGAGTCTTTTTATGTGCTTTCCAAGACCCTTTAGCATTTCCTTGGTTTTCTTGAATCAGATTGGAATCATAGTCGGATTTAGCTTTCATAATGTCGCAGTTGACTCTGTTTCTTAGTAGTCGATAAACGGGCCAATTTCGACTGTTCTTGTTTCCTTTTTCTCTCGTGAGATGATAATCGCGCTTTCTCATTTCATTAGCGATGGTTGAAGTCATCCACGGGACTGACGATCCTCTAACTCTTCGGGGTTTAGTTGGTGCGTGGGCCTCAACAACGTCAAAGAATAGCTTATTCCATGTATTAACACAGTCGTCCACGTTGTCGGTGTCATTAAAAACGACATGCCAGGGAATATTCTCAAGATCTTCATTCTTCATTTGCAACCACGTGACAAAAATACGTTACGTCATCGAAGTCGGCCATGTTGGACGATATGCAAATCATAAATTTACAAGCGAACATGGCGTCTTCAAGTGATACATTGGTTTTTTCGGAATATTTTTATACTTTAGATGGTCCTACTAGGGAAAGGTACAAGCAAAAAGCTAACTTAGTGGGTTTTGACCCTTTTGATTTAAGAAAAAGTGATTTGAGCGAAGATTTAGGGCTAATTCCTGGCGTCGAATACCCTGATATAGTGAACTATTTGATCCTTCAAACATCGTGGGCAACCAATTCTGAGATGAAGGCTTACAAGTCTTTGGATGCCTTTAATTTCTTCATTTCTGGATGGGTGAATACACTGATGATGAAGGAAGTTACTGAAACTACAGTTGTCGTATTAACAAGGGTAAGTTAAGGTTTGACTAAGTTATTCTATAGCTTCGGTTGTACAACAACAAATTACTGGTAGTTTATTATTGTAGGTACGTATGTTAAAAATACTGCTTCTAATTATTTTCAGGTAAATCACTCTCAAAGAGCGAGTGAAAAGCCATTAAAAGCCTGGATATTGGCAGAATACTCAGGAAAGGTTATTACAGCACATTGTGACTGTATGTCTGGAAAAAGTGAGTGCTGTTCTCACGTTGCTGCTATATTGTTTGCTTCAGAAGCTGCGTGTCGAATGCATTCATCAACAACCTGCACCCAAACCAAAAGTCAATGGCTGATGCCAGGTTATGTTAAAGAAATACCTTATGCAGCTATAGAGGAAATCGATTTCACCTCAGCAAAGAAAAAACACTCACAACTCCTTGAAGACAAAAAAGTACCAACAGCTCTACGAAACAGTGACGAAGTAGTTCAAAGACCACTAACCATAACGAGTTATGAAGAACAGTTGAACTTTTTTCAAAAGATTTCATTGTCCGACAGCAAGCCTGCCATCTTATCTCTAATATCCCCATACAATACCAAGTATATCCCTAAAGAAGCAGCTTTACCCCAACCATTGACCCACCTCTATGATGCAAATGCTACAGAACTAAACTATGATGAACTTCTTAGTAAGTGCATAGACATAAGCTTACAGATTTCAATAACAGATGAAGAAATAAAGGCTATTGAGGAGGGTACTAGAGAGCAGGCATCAACTAATGTATGGTACAAGCAGAGGGCAGGAAGGATAACAGCCTCAAACTTTAAATCTGCATGCCACACAAACATCAGCAGGCCCTCCCCAAGCCTTATTAAGAGAATTTGCTACCCAGAGTCTACTAAGTTTAGTAGTGCAGCAACAGCATGGGGCTGTAAAAATGAGACCAATGCCCGTAAGGCCTATTTAGAAAAAACGAACAGATGCCATGATGACTTTAGTATTTGTGATAGTGGACTGCAAATAAATAAGCAGTGGCCTCATATTGGAGCATCACCAGATGGATTGGTCAATTGCAAATGCTGTGGGNCAGGTGTTTGTGAAATTAAATGTCCGTACAGTGCTAAAGATCTCAGCCCAACTGATCCACATGTAATAAGTGACAAAAACTATTGTCTGCAGAATGACAGTGATAGCATCTATCTTAATAGAACACATGCATATTACTACCAAGTACAATGCCAAATGTTCATTTGCAATGTGGAATATTGTGATTTCATCGTATGGACACCACATGGACTTTATGTTGAAAGGATAATGCCAGATGTGGAGTTTTGGAGTGCTTCTGTTGCCAAGGTAACAGAATTCTTTAAAATAGGTATTCTACCTGAGATTGTTGGAAAGCTTTATACCCGTCCCTCACTACCCTCAACACTCGTAGCACCTAGTCCTGATGATGATAGCGCAGAGTGGTGCATCTGCCAGCGATATATTGAAGACAGCACTCTAGTTGGATGCGATAATGATGATTGTAAAGTTAAATGGTTTCACCTTCAGTGTCTAAGACTAAAGAATCCCCCAAAAGGTAGATGGCTGTGTATGGACTGTCAAAAATTGGACTAGATGCAATAGTCATATATTTTTCGTACCAAATTAAGGCAGAGAATTACAAGTACAAAACAGTGTTTACTATGTTCATGATATCACTAGTAATAGAAAGAAGTCATTCAATCCATACCCATTTACGTCAATTGGAATATTGAGTACTGCACTGTATGTTCTGCCACATATAATAATAGAAAATTGACAGGGTGCTCACACCTAAGTACTAAATTGTGTTTACTAAATGGTGTTTAGTGATTTGCAAAGTTATAACCAATTTGTTTACATTGTTAAATCATGAAATAAACTGTTTATTTCACTGCTATATTGTTGTTAAAATATTGCTTTCTATTTACTGATATTTTTGAAAGGACTAGACCAACTATGTATTAAATACTTTGACTACTCAAAAGGCACAATTGAATCTGACAAGTTAGTCAGGGCACAACATAATTTTGCAATTCTATCAATGGATGCTTGCTTGCCACTTTTTGCTTTCAACAAGGTAATTGGCAGAATACTTTGTAAAATTGTATATTTACGCCGGGCAAGTCCGATCACTCTTTCCACATGTATCCGGACATTTGCTATTTTCCTGGTAGTTTCCACTTCAATGGCTGACAACTGTTTCTTTCCTCTGGTAAATGCTGGTATATGCAGTTTGGCTTGCTGTAAGGCAACACTATCTGCGATATCAAAACCTCTGTCTGCAAGCACAATGTCACCAGGAAGTAATTTCCTCAAGATTCCACAATTTTCTGTCAGGTATTTATCACTTACTCGACCACCCCATGCTTTAGATATAAATGATATAGAGCCTTGGGGAGTAATACCTATTAAAAATTTTACAGTGTTGTGGTGTTTATAATTTGACCATGTCATTGCTCGAGCAATCAAGCTAGATGGTCTTTCAATAAACACCTCAAAACAATCAATAATCACTGACACCTTGTTCCCGAAGTTTTTTTGAAAGACTGATGGCATTGTGGCTCTAAGTTGATCTCTGTCAGGCCAATGTATAAGAAAACCAAGACGGTCAGACAACACTTCACTCCAACGATCAAAAATGCGCCCTGCAGTGGAAGAGGCTATCTGAAATCTATAAGCCAGATCTTGTAGTGGGACATTAAGCCTTACTCTTATAAGAACAAGCAACAGCTCTTGAAATGGTGTCAATGCATTAGTACTCGTTGACTTGATATATGGTAGAACTAAATGATATACTTGAATTAACATAAAAAAGTTTGGAAGACCAGTGTAAAATTGGGTTTTCTCGTTGTTATTTTGAAATGTTTCCATGTTAAGCTGAGCATCAAGGAGCTTTTGCTTGAGCTCAGAAAGCTCACACTGTAGGTTGCGAGTGTACTCGTCTTTATTGTGTAGGTCAATAATTGTCTCTGTGGTCTGCACAGATGCTTCTAGTGTAGCAACATGAAACTGACATCCCTTGTCTAAATCAGAGTCTTGACTAACATACTCTGTAATATTAAATAAGAAATGTTAGAATAAGAATTCATATACAGAAAATATTGACATCCAGTTATATACCCACTCCAACAAGCTATAGAAAAATGGTTTTTAAGAACAAATTCTACTGGAAATATTAATAGTGAACCATATTAATAACATATGACTTTAAATATAAATACCTTGGAGTGGAATATCATGAAAGTAGTTGTCAAAGTCGTGAGAGCTCGCTGAACTTGTGTCAGTTGACTCAGTTGTCACCTCAGACTTCTTCTTAGCCCGCTTGTTCTTGACCGGTTGGATCGATATTTTTGCCCTTTTCTCAGCTCTTGATCCTCGGGATGCGGCAGCAGCAGGGTCCTTTATGTTTGAATGTCCCATATTTACTGTAGGAGCCCAATCCACATTATTTTTATCGTAAAGATCCGATGGCTTTCCTAAACAAACACATGTGATTTGATGTTTACAGTGTTTCGCGCGAAATATTTTACCCGAGTTTTTTGTTACTTTAATAGCTAAACAAAGCCCAGAACTTCTACAGGAATATCTGACTTACCTGAAACAAAATGTGCGCTACAAACTCGGGTTGTTTCGGCTTTTTTCTCGGTCAGATCTTTGTCAGATCGGTGAATATTCTTGAACCATCGTTTCCTTCTTTCAGTGCTTAATCGTTCTGTTTCTTCACCATTATGACTTATAATTTTCGGAATTCGAAAAAAACTGTATTTTCCTTTGTCGCGAACATTGTTGTGGCCACAACCAACTACAGCACATAGAGTTGGCATGGCAAACTTAGATAACTTACATATTCACTACTGTGACCGTGCCCTAAAACACGCTTACATATCGTCCAACATGGCCGACTTCCGGTTTTCTTAATTATGCGTGACGTAACGTGCAAATGAAGAATTGAAAGAGTCTGTTGTAGTTCTTGTATAAACGATATTCGATGGTTTTGGAAGCAACTCGGGGACGACCGGATTTAAGGACACAGTAAACAAGCGAGTAATCACTAAGTCCGAGATAAAAAACTCCAGACTCGACAACTTTGTGGTTGGCGTTTGTGAACATTAGGTCAGTTAGCGTCTCAGAATGTTCAGTGTCACGTGTCGGTTCCGTTATCAATTGTTTTAGGTCAAAAGCCCCTGTAATTCCCCGGAGTCTTCGTTTCAGTGAAAAATTTGCATTTTTCTGCTGGACAGAGAAATCAATGTTGAAATCTCTCAGAATAACTTTATCATTAGTGGAATCAACTTTTGACAGAGAATCATGTAGATTATCCAAAAAGATATCCACAGGCTGATCTGGGGGTCTGTAGACATTGCTGATGATGACTGGCTTGCATCTTGTTTGGTTTATTTTAATCCAGACACTCATTTGCATTCATGAGGTCTTCTTGCTCAATAAAATTTAAACTTTCGCAGCAGTAAATTGCTACACCTCCCCCTTGCTTTTCTTCCCGGTCTCGTCTTACACGATTGTATCCGGTATGTGAGTTTCCTCATCCTGAATACTGTTTGAGTGCCGGGTCTCCCAGAATGTCCAGATATCGGAGCCTTTGTTGCTACTCATAACAAGATTTAGTTGGTCGATTTTGCCGGTTAAACTTCTAACATTGAGATGAGCTGTAGACAGGCCATTGGCTTTGATACTGAAGGATGGAACATCAAAGTCCACCTGGTTTAGAGGACCAGGCTGAGGACAAACGTCGCCAGAGAGAATGATGGCAGCTGAAGCATAGAAATTCAGCTGCGTTATCTTCAAAAATTTAGGCAACTTCGTTGAAGTAGCGCCATTTTTCCGGGCGATGTAGCGACTCCTCTGTTGTCGTAAATTTCCCGCAATTTCAGTCCTGCAGCTCTCTTTTGAAACAAAATACACATCACTGTCATTTAGTGAAGTGCTCGTCTGTAGATGTAAGGACTTGTAGTTTGAAAAAGACACATAGATGCAGAGAAATATATAAACATTCGCAGAGGGCCTAAATTTGCGTCCGACCGCCATAACTGTTACCATAAAGGCCCAGTCCTTTCCCGGGTACGTCTCGTGTGCCACTTCTTTGACCCCTTTCCCTAAGAAATTTGCCAACCTTAAGCCAATTTAAGCGTGGTATCAAGAAAGCACTATCTTAATTAGGTTCGTTTTTCGCATGTTAATTTTCAAATTAATGTAGTTTTATCTTCATATTTTTCGATATGTATTTTTTTTCTTTTTATTTTTAAGTAATTATATTTTATGTAGTTACCTTTAGGGGAACCCTCTGTAAACCACTTTTTTGTGATGTTGGCATCCTCACTAAAGATTAACTATTACTATTAAGTAGGTAAAACAATCGACTACATCTCGTTTTCCGCCTGCATTTCTTTAGTGCTCTAGCGGCCTCCTGTGTGCCGTTACAACAAAAAAGAGCTTCGAGGCTTCTTTATTTGTTAAAATGTCAATCGCGTGAAACAAAAGGGAGCAGTTTACGCTTAACACAGAACGATTTATAATTTTGAAATATTATTATTTGAAATATTTGTTTTTCGGGCTATAATTTTCGATTATTTGCATTTAAATTGGACTATCATACGGTACTAATATTCTAAAATAGGACTCTACTGTACTTTTCTTCGAAGTAAAACACATATAATGAGGTCAAAATATTTCGCTTTTGCGATCAATTTATGATTGATCCATTTCTCTTCTAAACCATTAGACAGACGTCAGACGCCCTGCACAAAGCGTCTTAATATACCTACATAAACAATATCTAGTGTCCTCATCAACTTTAACACAGCCGGTGTAGATGGGGCCAGATGGTTTTATAAAACCGCTCAATGAACACAATTTTTTATCCTAAATCGGCTTTTCCAAACACTCCTTGATTGACCGAATTAAGAAAGTCATTTCCTGCTATCAAAAGAAATTCAATGGAACTGTGGGTTTGGATTCTCGGCTGGTACCTCTGCATCCTCACGATGGTTATGAATGGATTTGTCATCTTCCTCGTCTGCAGAAAACGTCAGCTTCGCACCAAAACTAACACATTCATCGTGTCTTTAGCAGTGGCTGATTTTTGTGTTGGGATGATTGCTGCTCCTTCACGTTTACTCTGCAAAATGGTAGACGAGTGTATCTCCGATAAAGAAATAAGGTTACTCATATATTATGTATGGGGGTTCTTCATTTATGCCTCTGGATCAAACTTACTTGTTTTAGTATTTGAACGCTACATCGCCGTGGTGAAGCCTTTGAAATATTTGACTTTTATGAAGCGCAGCCGAGTCATTCAAATGGTTCTTACATCTTGGGGAGTTCCTTTTATTTTCATTCTTACTTTATTGTCGATTAGTCTCAATTCAATCGATCATTGGATGACTATCATCGGCTATTTGCATTTGCTTTTCGAGGTTATCTTGTGCGTAACTTTAATTTTCTGCCTTGTATCCATGTTTCTTGTTGTTTACAAACAGAACACTAGAGATCGCACTTTAGCTAGACAGTTGCATTTTAATCAACGGGTCGCTAAAGTGAAAACTCAGAACACGTCAGCGGTAAAATGGCTGGCTTTCGTAACGTGTATGTTTCTATTGTGTTACGGAATACTTATGCGTTGTAGTTTCTTAATTCTAACTGGTCATGAGTGTGGAAACGATATTTATTACAAAGTACCTCTACAAGTTGTTAACTCTGGAATAAATCCTATAGTTTATGCTTTCTTCAAAAGAGACATAAAGCAAGAATGTAAAAGACTTCTTTTCAAAAGGCGTCGTTGATTTTTCGACAGAGTAGTTCCTAAGCAGGAAAAACCTCAATTGATGCATTAACTCAACTGTTCCCTTAGATCCCGAGGAAATTCGGTAGTGTGTTCTTATGTGATGTATTTATTCTTGTCTTAATTGCTATTTAGTTGAAAAGCTTCCATTGAAAAGAACACACTGAGTCACCCTTTTAAGAGATATAGTGTTGATATCATATTTATCTCCAAGAGTTAAGTCTACACTTTTAGATCAGACTTCCTTTGCTAGAGAAATTTTTACTTTTCATAGACTGTAGAGCCTCATTT